TAGCTGACTTTTGTAGAGGAAATTACTCGTAATGTAGAGACGCAGCTGGCATGTAGAAGGCCTTACTAGAAATGTAGATGCTTCCTAGTAATGTGATTAACCTGACTAGTCATGTAAATATGCTGACGAATATTCTGGAAAGTGTTGCTAGCGTAGTCTTAATAGTAACGTGGAGAGCCTGACTAGTAATACGCCTTAATGATAATGTAATGAGGTTTACGAGTAGCGAAGTAAGCTGGACTAGTGATATAAATAACCTTACTAATATTGTGATAAGTGTTACCAGTAAAATCTTATTATGAATGAGGAGAGCGTTAAATATAAGGTAGTACACATTACTAGTAATGTAATGAGTCCTACTTTCATGTTGTAAAATAACGAGTGGTTAATTGTACTGTAAAGTCTGACTAGTAATCTGGAGACACTTACACGTCATGTATTATGCCTTACTAGGCGGAATACATTGTCATCTTACTAACAATATTGTATTAATAATGGAGTCAGCCTGAGTAGTAATGTAAAAATCCTTACTACGGATGTAGTAAGCCTGGCTAATAATGAAAAGGACCTTGCTAGTATGGTAATATAGATTTAACAAAGCTTAAGAGAGGCTCGCTATTATTGTCGAATGTTTGTAGCATTGTAGAGAGCATTACCTGTGAACGTGGAGTCCGAGTATTCAGCTTCAGGTCGAGTTTCGGATGGACCGATGGCGCAGAAATTATCTGTTTGAATTTGTCCCGAATTCGAGACATTGTTTACATTGTTCGAGGCCGAGTCTGACGTGTTGCTCCTCTGTTGAAGATAAACGCACAGGGGCGGTTTCTTCATTAGGGCGATTGGGCGACGCACCACCAATGTCATTCAACCACAGAGTCACGCCAGCCGTCACTGTGCCTCTGGATATAGTCCAATCAGCGTCATGTCACGTTCTGTGGAGTACCGCCTCTTTTTGGGCGATTTCACTCCGGCTGAGAATCGCCCAGAGTGGTCCCATAGACTTACATTCAAAGATGTTTTTCTTCGAACGGCGGGCGCTGCAATGCATTCTCTATGGCTTCCGGGAGGGCTCGCACTAACGTGCTTATGTCATCATACGTAAGCACGTTCCATCCAACAATATTATTTGTCGCCACCTAGTGGAATCTTTAATAAAATAAACTTGAGTGGATTGTATTAATAGTGAGTATAGAAACAAACAAGATGTATTGTAAGAGTCACTTTATTTTTCATTAATATTAAAGAAGTGAAGTTGCCTTTACATGCTTAAGCTGTTAATGTATCCTTTGCATGGGTGGACCTTATCCTTATAAATCATCCAAACATTTGCCCCCCCTGAGAGATTTTGCAGGAGCCCCCACTGTAAATGCATACGTATACATATATTGGGCCCCGTTCAAACCTTTCCAAAACACCAAAAACGATTCCGGTTTGGCAATTTGCCCGAGACATCAGCAACTTAAAGTCAAATAGCGTGCCAATACACACACTCGCCAGCATTTCAATCTGGCCCCACATGCGTTATATTTAGGAGGCCTGATTTCGCGTGTTGGTAAACGTTCCATTTCCGTCGATTATTTTTGGGAAATGTTCGGATGCCTCCATTAACCAACAGTTTGGGAAATTTCCAATGGGATGCGCAACTGCCGTATGCTCAAGATGCGCATCCTAATGGGCACGAGAGTCGTGTATCACAGCAATCATTGCCGGCGACCATCACCAGCACGCATTAACTGTGAACGACGGTGACAACTTGGCGGTCAATGAATGCAAAGTTCTCTCGAAACCAATCAATGGAGACTTTGTTGCAATGTTTGTTCAAGTTAGAAATAAAATGGGCTTTAGGTTCAACTATACTATTGTCCAGGAAGAAGCAAAATATATATAGATAAAATATTAACTTAACAAACGATGAACATCATTGGAACCTCATTTGCCAGTAAAAAAGTATGATAATTGTTTTTTTACCCTTCTATCTGGCAACAAAACTGACACCTTTTTTACAAGGAGCCATGTTTGCATAGACCACAATACCTGCAGTCATAATGCAAACAAAAAACATAACTCTGATAATGTATGCACTGTCCTTGAAGTTGATTGGTTCACACCCGAGACAGCTTTCCTTAGAGCCTAGTCTCACATGGGTTGGACTAGATGACGCCGAAAGGCGTGACTCCTTGTAAAAAAGGTGTCAGTTTTGTTGCCAGATAGAAGGGTAAAAAACCAATTATCAAACGATGAATATGTTTTAATGGCTCTATCAAAATTACAAGGAGCCATGTTTGCATAGACCACAATACCTGCAGTCATAATGCAAACAAAAAACATAACTCTGATAATGTATGCACTGTCCTTGAAGTTGATTGGTTCACACCCGAGACAGCTTTCCTTAGAGCCTAGTCTCACATGGGTTGGACTAGATGACGCCGAAAGGCGTGACTCCTTGTAAAAAAGGTGTCAGTTTTGTTGCCAGATAGAAGGGTAAAAAACCAATTATCAAACGATGAATATGTTTTAATGGCTCTATCAAAATAAATTCAATAACGCAATGTATCCTGACTTTTGGGCTACCTTGTACAGTGAACTCTCGATTATCCATTGGTAGTAGTTTACACGTGCACTGGATACAATAATTATTAGCTACTCCTCACTCATTAGGAGTCAGTGACTCAGTGCTCACTACAACCACATCTGAGATGAAACCTTAAACAATAAAACAAATGACTCATTCTATGCCTTCATTCCAATTTAACATAGGTAAACAATTAAAACAGATATTCTAAACTAATTGACATGTTTGGCATTATACTTTTTATATTTGGGCCAGACCTTACCATGATTACCACGGATAATAGAGAGTTGAACGTAACAAAAAACATGATGATGAAAAATAAGAATAGGTTTTACCCTTTAAAAAAGTTTCCAGTCATTACGAGTGCTCCTAAAATATTATTTTACTCTTATAGGGCAAACCGTGTGAGTGAGCTGTGTATGTGTGTATGAATGTATGTATGCATGAGACACAAACCCTGATCTTCATTTTCTTCCAAAAATAGTGGACAGCCAAACAAATGATCACTGTGCATAATGCTGTAACCACAATGTAAACCGCTGGAAGGTGTTCATGAGATCGTTCTGCAAACAAGGATAGATTGTAATGAAAGTTGTGTGCCTGCAAATCTGTGAATGCCGTGACCCACAGATGCGTGGCACAGCTACTCGTACAGCATTGATACTGCTTTAGAGCCTAATTTACTTGTTGATAAATGTTCCTCGCCAAATTATAAATTATTCATTTTTGTGAAGATCGACAAATATCTTCGCCATCAACTCTGGATGTGTGACTCGAGCCCAATTTATTTGCGCACGAGGAACATCGCACTATGAACCTGGGTAACCGAAGCTTTATTCCTCACCATGGATGAAATCAGTGGCAAGTGACATCTGAATTCCCCCACCCCACTGTTCACTGACCAGCATGGCGAAGTATGGTCAAACAGCCTCTTTAAAGGCATAACATGGAGATGCCGTTATCCAACGGTAGGTTGACAAAGGGTTGGCGATTATTTGATTGTATGTGTAATATATTCAAATATTTCATTTGTCAGTATTTATGCATCTGCACCCTATATCATACAGATAATACCAATTTAAAGCTTTCCTCGAGACACATTGTTATTTTGTGTTTTAGTATCAAATAAAATGTTATAAGACACTCCAGCCTGCTTTCACTGGCCCGTTTCATGAGTTTGACCTATGCCCACCTTAAATAACTGTCCAATACAAATTCTGTTGTGTTTTGAAAATCGTGTCCCTCCCTAACTTATTTTCTTTTGTTCAGATAATTTGTGTACGTGACTTTTTTGTGTTTCAAATTAATCTGTAACAAAAACTTTACTGCCATTTTAAGTTGTTCAGTAATTTCAAGTAATATATTAACATTAGTTGTAAAAACTAATTCTGCAGAAATTAAGACATCGTAAATAAAATGTTACAAACGATGATGTATGACACAAGGAGATAGAACAAGGAACACATGGATGAGAGAACAAATTAAATTCAGAGACACTGTATTGCCTGTTAAGTGGTCTTGGGCGGAACACATTGCAAGAAGGGCTGATGGCTAATGGAGTAAATCAATAACAGTGGCAACCAGATAAACTATCAACTACTTAAAACGAAACTATTTTTATTTTACCAGCTAAGGCTGACTGAGCTATAGAGTCCTATTTCAGAAGCGACCTGGCCACAAATGAAAGCTCAAAGAAGTGGCTTATCATGTGGAAATGTATAGCAATCAAATACTGTAAATGCATGTTTCTAAATGTGGAGGGAAAAACCGGAGAAAAATCCACTCGACCACGGGGAGAACGTGCAAACTCTAAATATACAGGCATCAGGGTCGGGATTGAACACACGTCCTCCTGCATACCCGGCGAGGTAGTTAACATCTCACCACTGTGGCACCCCAGACGAAGCCACTATACCCGAGAGGACATCCACCATAGATTTGTTATGATGAGATTAGCTCATGTGTAGGAACAATAAGGATTGTGGCATTTCTGAAACTAGCCTTGTATTAATAAACGAGTATATCTTCATGTAGTTTTTGGAAATCATGCATTAATAATGCGTGCACATGTAAACAAAGTAAGTATTACCTTCGGTTGATGTTGGTCTCGGTGGGATCGGTCCATTTTTTCTTTTGGTGGAAGATTTACCTATCGGATAATAATTTTACAAATGGCATCTAAAGGCAGTGCATTAACATTGTCTGAGCAGAGAACCACGGTTCCGTCAAAGGCTACTCAATAACACATGTGTTTCCTGAAAGTGATTGTTTTTCATTGGGAGTCCATAGATCCGCACTCGTGCATGATTGTTTTGTTATTTGAATACAATTAACGGCCTTCCAGAATTGTTAGAAATCGATGCAACCTGAAGTTAAATCATGAGGGTCAGAATGTAGATTTATTTTAATGCATTACCTTTGATGACGTCGAGCTTCGTTTCATAGAATTCCCCAGGAATGGTTAGCTCACACAGGTAAACACCTGCATCTTTACCATTGACATCATTAATTACCAATGATGCAGTTCTATTTTTGAAATATTTTGTTCTCATACTATCAATTGAGAGAGGGTAGTATGGTTGTCCTTGTAGAGCAACATGCCAGTTAACACTTCCGTTGATTTGTCTTGCAGAATTGGTTTGGCAGGGAATCGAGATATGTTCCCCAATTCTAGCTTTTATATTTTTGTTCATCTTCACACCTGCAGACAAAAATAAGCGCATTTTACCAACAGTGCTTCAATATTTCGATTTAAAGCTTTCGTGACTGCAGGGATTCATCTTCTTGGTTCTTTCGGTAAAGTCACGTAGAAGGGAAATAATAATAGAAGGGAAATAATAAAATAATAAAAATAAAACACAATAAAAATAATTCTCACGTCGTGAGAAAAAATAATTTCTCACGTCGTGAGAATTAATTTAAATAATTTCTCACGTCGTGAGAATTATTTTTTATTTTATTATTTCCCTTCTACGTGACTTTACCGAAAGAACCAAAAAAAAAAGTGCTGCAATAATCACATTTATTGGTACCTCAGCCAGTACACATGATAAGCCGAAAACCCCCGTCTGTCAGCCATGCCCAATCACTCGTTCCACCCAAACAGTGAGTGGGGCTAACCCTTCATGATGTTGGCCCCACTTATTGCGAATAGGTCCAACCTACTATTGTGCCAACCATGCCCACTTCACAGCCCCATTATTTGCGTATGAATGTATGTTGCACTTCTTGAGCACCGTATGTAGCCAACCATGCGAATTGTGAGGCCATGAAATTTAACAATAGGACAAAATAAAAAAATGTTGCAAGCTTTTGGACTTCAAAACAGCCTTTTTGAGACCAGGAAATGTTTAGTGGCCTTACCATTCTCAAAAGCACCATACCTATGCATAACACTTAGCCACTCGTGGAAATTCCACATTCTAGTTATCGCTCAAAAATTGTGTAGCTTCAGCCCGAGAAAGAGGTGATTTGAATTGGTGAAGCAGGATATAACGGACTGTGGAGTGGATGTGAAGATTGCCCAATTTAGGAATGACTGTAAAAGTAGGACCCAGAAAGCACCCCCCCCCCCCTCCAAATGAGTGAAATGACAGGTACCGTAGTCCATAAGTCCAGACCAGATATCCCACCTGCCGGTACTGCCTGAGGTGGCATCATTTTGGTGGTTCACATTTCTGGCCAACAGCAGTCAATTTTGTGATAACCATTTCGATTTATGGATCATCAAATATCAAGTATTCCACTCGTATTTACACTAAATTAATCAATTGGTATGACTAAATATTTGCTATCTTTGGTGGTACCAATTTCTTCTGTGGCCCATGCGCTAAATGAAAGGATCCCCTGAACTGGAGTTAATTTGAGTCCAATTCATGGTCCCACTTTCACCGACTAGAACCCTTTGAGATAACGACCATCAATTTGGAAAAACGTAGATTGTAATTATCACAACTTCTTTCAATAAACTTACATAATAATGCAATAATAGAAACATGTATTCGTGTTAATTTTGGTATAGTATGTGCTTTGTTAAAAATTAATGTGTTTGCGTGTTACTTTTCTTACCTTTGATTATGAGAATATCTGTATCAACAAAGAAAACTTCAGATTTACATGACCATTGACATCTGTGCAATCTAGAGCCCATCCAGTCAGGATTTTCAATGGTAAGGGAGTGGTTATCATGTTTAATGTATTTATTGACATGCGTTTCTTTGTCACTATCATCGTTAATGGGTTTCCATGTATCTGTAAAGACATACCAAACAATAAAGCTAACTTGACCCGTGCAGATTGTCAGGCAATGAAGGAGGATATTTTGGTGTTCTTTTGCTTTGACTTGCTCAGTTTTTCCAGGGATATTGCCTGCAGGGCGTGACAAAACAACCACAACAAGACGATACTCAATGCACATGCATTACACATGAAATGTTACATTTCTGAGAAATACAGTACAGTATGAATAAAGGCAAGTTTCCCAGAAATGTACGTTTTTTTCTGTTATGAAAACAATCATTATTTAGTGCCCCTTTATCGATCCACTACTATATGAAGGCCTCCAAATGCATCGTCAGTCATGAGGGAATGTATCACTATTTTTCACCACTCTGGTCAGAGCGGGATAGTTGTGGTCAGGAATCGAACACATGTGGCTGGGTTCTGAGTGAAATGTGTTAAGCACTGCCCCAGCACTCCTCCCTATGTGTGAGGCAGTGTTGATAATATTATCTGTAATACATTTTTTAAAATCATAAGTTATGCTATCAAGACCATAAGGACGAGCCATTTCGACTGAACCACATCTGATTCTTATTCACTTCAGACTGCATCATCATCATAATTAGCCATGATCAATCCAAAGCTGGATGAAAGCCTCCCCAACCATTTTACGATCCTGTGATGTGTTAATTCACCGAGCACTTGCACACGAGCTGATTTTATCACTCCACTGCCTCTGTGGGTGTGCTGTGGAACGCGTTCCATTCCCCGGCTGCCACTCAATCATCACCCTTAACCATTGGTCGTCATTCCTTCTAGCGACACGCCCTGCCCAAACTCACATTTATATTGACAACATTTGTTTGAACACACAATGCCTGTCTGGGTTATTCATCTTTCAGTCTCATCAGTCGAATCAAGCTTGTTAAACAAACACTGCCCGTGTACCAGATGCTACTGTCAAGAATATTCCATTCAGGGACGCCCATCGGCGCAATACAACAATACAGCATGTACTGATAATTGTTTTTTTACCCTTCTCTCTGGCAGCAAAACTGACACCTTTTTACAAGGAGTCATGTTTGCATAGACCGCAATACCTGCAGTCATAATACAAACAAAAGACATAACTCTGATAATGTGCACTGTCCTTGAAGTTGATTGGTCCACACCCGAGACAGCTTTCCTTTTTGGCGTCATCTGGTCCAACCCATGTGAGACTAGGCTCTAAGGAAAGCTGTCTCTGGTGTGGACCAATCAACTTCAAGGACAGTGCACATTATCAGAGTTATGTCTTTTGTTTGTATTATGACTGCAGGTATTGCGGTCTATGCAAACATGACTCCTTGTAAAAAGGTGTCAGTTTTGTTGCCAGATAGAAGGGTAAAAAAACAATTATCATATTTTTACTGGTAAATGAGGTTCCCATAGTGTACAGCATGTACTGTTGTGGATCATTCTAGGGAATGCAACAAATGTAGTATGTATCTCTAAAAAAATATTCTTCAGTCCATTAGCCAGTTGTCTTTCTAACTCATGTTAATTTGCAATCATCAGCAGTATTTATTGAGACAAAAATCCAAACCAAACTCAGTATTCATGTTGTGACCACCAACACAAACACATATTGTTTTATACGAGGCTGAATGTGTTGATGTGACACACGAGGTTAAAATAAGTCCAGCTTGTATTGTTGGTTAATGCAAGTCCGGAAGGCCAATCGAGTGAGGGACTGAAGTGTTTTGTTATTTGGAGAAGTGGTTAGAGGTCTATTTATTTTGTTACCCAGAAGGCTCCACAACAGTGCATAATGCGCTTTTTATTTTTGCTTTGTTTATAACCTTTACTGATGCAACTTTATTTTACCAGCTAAGGCCCACTGAGCTGTATAGCTCTTTTCCAGAAGCGACCTGGCCAGACATGATAGCCCAACGAAGTAGCTTATCACGTGGACTTTGATCGCAGCCAAATAATCTAGGCGCACGTTTCTAAATGTGAAGGGAAAACCGGAAGACTGGAAGAAAAATCCACGTGACCACGGGGAAAAAATGCCGAATCCAAATATACAAACGTCGGGGTCGGGATCGATCCCACGACCTCCTGTATGCCAGGCGATGTAGTTAATCAGATTTACGATTCAAGTTACGCTGAGTTTATTGCATCGAGGCCCATATATCAATGGCCAGTTTATCAGGCATTAAATACCTCATTCTCTGTTGGCCCAGTGCAGCCCTAGACACCTTGGTACGAGTTCAGTCAGACAGATTTAATGTGCATAACAAACCGGTGATTGACATGGACAATCGAAATTAATATGCTTTAATTTGCAAAGAAAAAGTTCAGACCACACAGGGTAAAGAGAGGTCACGATCTCGCCACGCTTCAGACTTGCTCTGAAAAGAAGGTGCGCATTCGAAGGGGGCTACGTACTCATGACAGGAGCCCAACCAGCGACGATGCAGGCGACACGGAGCCAAACAGATGATCCAGCCATGTCCAGCTACACACCTCTCACTTCCTTGTGTAACGTTCAGTGCAAAAAAAAGCCCGTTGTTTGTTTCCTCTTTCTTGCTGGTGTGTGGGGAGTTTCCCTTGTGTTTCCGCTGTGGTCCCACCTCCATGTATGTTGAACATGTTTTCCTCAACCAAATAGGCTGCCGGAAAATTTAAAAATAAATGTCAGTACGAGCTTAACACCATTGAACGCATGATATTGCCTTGCTGCAGTAGCACAGCTGGAAAAAACAGTTTTCTGATGATCTTTTTCACGTGATTGTAATGAAGATCCAGCTCAACGCCTTAACATTGAATTCATTAAGTACGTTGTCATTCCTCAATATCTGTTATATCGAGAGCTCGATTCACGTTGTGGCAATTTTTCCTTATTTTTGGCAAACGTGTGCCGATGTCTTCATCACATTCGATGGAGGAAATAACTAAGATTTTACCTATTCATATAGAGTTTTTTTCATGCTTTTGCATAGTTCAAAATTGAGTTGTAAAATCCACAAAAGTTATTGCCCCAAATGAATGAGAAAATATTTTACCTGATTCAACCGGGCAAGAAAATGCCGCCGATTAAAAAGCTGATGGGAATTGTGGCTTTGCATGCTTGCCCTGCCGATTGACTGAGCCGACCAATCAGGCTCGATCCATCTCACACACGAACGAACTCACATTCCAAGTCTCGCAGACACACACATCAGAATGTGTGTACAATATTTGAAATGTAAGTAATGGTTCACAAAATCACTTTTACGGACACGACAATGTGTGCGCGATTTATTAGTGGCACTAAGCCAAAGGCTGCTTTAAAATCATCATCATCTTTGTCTTCATCATGCCAGTAATCTACATTTATATGGGTTATATAGGAGATAAAAAGATAATGCCGCTCGACTAATTTAAAGTACTGTAAGAACTCCACTGCCGAACCAGGGCTGTTCATCAGCACACTGCCCTGGTATGGAAATGCCGCCACTCACTCTGAAATTACTCTATTACTGTACTCATAGAAGGTTGAGGGGTTGGTGTGTTTGATGACTTAAAATTCCCAGGTAAGTGGGGCTGATGGTATGGCCCCACTTCTTAGTGGCACCCTTCAGGTTCAGCAAAAGGATCTCCAACCTATTTTTACCGTATTATCAGCTAACATTAAATGGTTTACAAGTTGGGAACCATCTCTTGACCACACCCTGGGATTGAACAGCCTCCAATTGTATTTGTACCAGATAAAAATTGCTCTGGTGCAGCCATGGAAAGCTTCCAAAACTACGTACTGAAAAAAAAGTTACATATTGTGAGGACCAGAGACTGCACCCCAAGGTGATGGCTCTGACTCCTGCCCACGCAGCTTTACCCAGGCCTGTTTGCCTTCATGACGGACCTGAATTATCTATTTGTTTTCTCATTTGTATTACATAGGCGAAAGCTACTGTGAAAAGTATTAGGTTGCTATGATGAGATTGGATTTTGTTTGCGGCTAGATGGATTGTTGCATCACAATAACATAAGAGATACGTTATTTAATGTTAAATGTTTCAACTAAAAAAACCCTTGCGATGGAACATCTCATTTGAAAGGGTGTTCAGGTCGTTGATTGACACACACATAGCAAACTCGCAACGACACGTACACAAACATTCTAAATCTATAAATACCGTGGTGACAACTTTAGCTGACTTTATTTCAGCAGTGGATAAATGCATGGCTAATGATGATAATGGCAACTCTACTCCAAACAGTACATGAAGGAAGTGTGGTATCTCGCACTGGAATTTGGCCGGAACCCACTGACCACGCAAGCAACTGCTACTTCTGCATGGTGGACCCTTTCAAACGTCGGACTGGCAAGAATGCACCTGCTATCACGTATCCGGACCTTCCTTCATCCATCGCCCTAGTGCCACACTGCCATGAGCTCCCCGTACCCAATCCTCCGGAGAGAGAGCAGCCGTCTTTAGAAGAGAGCAGCAAGTCAGAGAGCGAGGAAGACGTTGTAGATCCAGATGACAATTGCAGAGGTAGAGCTGAGGAGAGAAACTCATACTACCCCAACCGAAAATACCTCAACGACTTGATCAGAGATCTTGGTCTCACCAAGTCCAATGCTGAGCTTTTGACGTCTAGGCTCAAGCAGTGGAACTTGTTGGATGAAATTGTGCAAGTCGCAGATCAGAGGAAGCATCACCAACCTTTTTGCAGCGTCTTCACCCGTCAAGATGAGCTCTGCTTCTACCACAATGTGACCAGTCTGTTCGAGCCAATCGGAATCGCCTGTAACCAGAATTAATGGCGCCTCTTCATTGACAGCTCATCCAGGAGCCTCAATTACAACAGCATCAAGACGATTCTGGACGCCTTGAAGTATGATGCGTATGGCTGGGAGGTCATCGGAGACTTCAAAATAGTGGCATTCCTGATGGGTCTCCAAGGCAGTTTTACCAAGTTTCCCTGCTATCTTTGCCTTTCAGACAGCAGGGACACCAAGGCGCACTACCACAGACGGGACTGGCCACAGCGGACCGAGTTCTCTGTGGGGAGGAACAACGTCAAGTGGGAGACACTGGTGGACCCCGGAAGGTGCTGATGCCACTACTGCACATCAACTTGGGCCTTATGAAACAATTTGTCAGAACTGTAGATAAGGAGTCGGGAGCCTTCAAGTACCTTCAAGATTTCTTGCCTAAGCTGTTTGAGGCAAAGGTCAAAGCCGGTGTCTTCGTCGGACCACAGATAAAGAAGATCCTGGAGTGCAATGAATTCCCCAAGAAGCTCACTAGTAAGGAAAAAGCAGCTGGGGACAGCTTTGTCGCAGTGGTTCGTGGCTTCCTGGGCAATCACAAGGTCGAAACCTATGTGGAGCTGGTGGAGACTGGTGAAGAACTACGGCACAATGGGGTGTAGGATGTCCCTCAAAGTCCATATCCTTAATGCTCATCTTGATAAATTCAAGGAAAACATGGGACCGTACTCGGAGGAGCAAGGCAAGCGCTTCCACCAGGATATACTGGACCCTGAATGCCGCTACCAGGGACAGTACAACGAGACTACATTTGGGGGCTGATTCGTGATAAGTGATTTACAGTATAATCGTAAATCTCGGAAAACTACTCACTTCTAAATCTTTTGTAGTCATTTTTTTATTGCTTTAGTATAAATACATGTTAATTTTGATTAATATGTTGTTTTTTCTGACTTTATGTGAACGAAAAGACACAAATTCGCCCGTTTTCTCATTGAAAATAGGTAAGTTTCTAAATATCACTGTCCTGGTCACAAAAACAAAGTTTGTGGGGAATAATAGCCATCTTCTATACTTTTTAGGCATAAGCAATTACAAAATAACAGGAACAAAAATTGTGTTACATAGTGTAATACTGGTAGGAACCTCCTGGTTACATCAGCCCACAGGGGATTATTGTGTCCGTCCGTCGTGCAGGGAGGGGCTGGGTGAGGAGGGAGGGGCCAGGATGGGGAGGGGCTGGGTGGGGAGGGTGGGGCTGGGTGGGGGGTGGGAGGGGTGGGGCTGGGTGGGGGGTGGTAGGGAGGGGTGGGGCTGGGTGGGGAGGGGCTGGTCACCCCGTGGTGCCCTTATAAAACTCAACGTTTAACCTACTCACGCCGGCTTGTGCCCGCCCTCACAGTCGGGCATATTTGCGGAATACACCACGCCGCCGTTGACCCTGGCCATTGACCGAGCAACCTAAAGTTCCTACCAGCTCCCTCCGCAGGAATGTGTTCAATGCCGAGTCCTCTTTTAATAAAATTGTTTTGCGTGCATTCCTTGCATCGTGCAGTAGGTGGAGCCTTTGCCCAAAAGATAATGCACAAATGCTGGACTGCCGAATTGTTTTCTACCAGCGTTGAATTTTACCAAGTATATCGTCTGATATAGCGATGTTTTGCATTGCCCTTGTGACAACATTGTTATACATCGACGAGCTACAAATCTAGCGACGTTCTGGGATGAAGATATTGTGAAAATTTAGGATTCCAGTAAGTTTTAACTATCATGTATTAGTTTCATGTGCTCAATTCTCGAAGTGTCGTCGAGTGCCATGTTTAATGACTTAACACCGATATGTTTAGCCACGTCTAGAGACTGGGGTTAATTTTGTGGCATTCTGCTGCAAGGAGTTGGTAACACAATGTCGACTGCTTGGCTGGAAATAACCAACATTTCCATGTAATAAATATTTCACGATACAGTTATCCCTCTCATCAAATTAATAATCAGCTTCAAGATCGGTAGTTTTGCACGGAAAATAACACCGAACATTTCAAATCTTTAAAACATCCTGCCTCAGCAGCTTTCCCGATATGTTTTTCTCCTGATGACGATTGCTTGTGTTGCGATCGAAACTTCGTAGTTTTTTGTTTGTTATTTTCTTTGTACCTATAGACGCGACTTTTACCGAAAGACCCAAGAATATCACTAAACAGTTTTGGCTCCTGAGTTAGTTGCTTTGCCTTGCAATTGCCAACGTAAAAAAATAATATGTTTCAAGCACCCTTATTCAGCTGCACTTAATTGCACAAGCTACTCTGCTTAGCATTATTCCATTTGAGTGCATTAAACATGCAGCCTCTGCAGCACTCCCACTGAGTGATTATAGCGTTTTATTATGAACGAGGTACAATAGTAGCACTTGTTTAATTCAGACCAATGCATACATTTTGACATCAAAGCATTATAAGTGAAATGTTTTGCTGAATCAATGATGGCTAATTGTGCTATAGGCTCGCTGAGTGATGTCTGACTCATTGTGAACTCTGTTAACCGTGGAAAGATAAAATGAATACTTCCCGGTGCAGCCATATGTGTACATCCCTTCATTTCATGGGAAATAATACAGTTATGACATACAAATGTGAGATCATAGGTAAAAAGTTAATGATATTGGCTACATTTTCAAAAGGAAATGTTTACACCGTATAATGTAAAATATGCACACCCCATTTTTTTCCCGAAACCATTGTTTTCATTATGAAAAAACTATTATC